TGGTTCTTTTTGTCCCCTTTGCACTGAATCATGTTTTAAAAGCTATTTAACATCCCTGGGCTTTTTATACTATCAAAAGTCAAATTAATCACATTGCCCTTCCTCATTAAGTTTCTTGTGAAATTTTCTCTGAACTCTTCTATTTTTCTACTGTCTTAGGCTCACTACAGTCAGTGACTTGTAACTTTCCTTTATACCTGGTATCTTCAAGGACACTGCATGGTCCAGGATACTGAGGGATTAGAAAGTCCCTAACATGGTGTTTAACCTCACTCACCAGGACAAAGGAGGCATCACTTTTCTACAAGGGTTATTAAAGGGTAATGAGTCCCTCTAACCTTCCCATGGATTAGTAGGTAGAACTTTTGACTGCCAGTGACAGAATCAAATGAGCCATAGGAAGCAAAATAGCAACCTTATTAGCTCATATTATGAAACCACCGAAAAGGCAGGGACGACAGAACCTGGCAATCTGCTGACAGAAGGACTCATGTTTTCCCTCTCATTATGTCTCTTTGCATGTTAACTTCAGTCTCTTGATCCTGTTTTCCCCCCATGACAACAAATCCCCAGCTTCTCTGCCCGAGGGGAAGGGGCTCATTTTCTCTACCAGCTAATTTTAAAAATCGTAGGAAAGGGGCTGACATCTGTGGGAGTGGGAGGGCGGAAGATGGGTTTCGCGTGGAGGTGCTTTGACAGCCAGCATCAGAACTACACAGATGAGGTGGGCGGGGAGCAGCTTCCCCAAAGAACTGTGTAGCTGAGCCACCAAAGCAGAGACAAGTGCAGCAGTGGTGTGACCTTCAACTGCAGAGATTAGAGCAGATATGAAATGCTAACACCAGACAGAATTCTGTTGTCTAATTTGCAAACCTCTATCGGTGTCACACATGAAATGAAAATACACAAGAATAATCTTTACAAACTCCTTAATCTTTATAAACTAAGAAGTTGATAATCCATGGACCAGTTATAAGGTGCATAGATAATTACAGTTCGAAGGAGAGTCTATCAGTCGTCACAAAAGTGCTCTATCGAGTTCAGTGCAGAGGGAGGAACCATACTGATCTGAACAGGAAAGGCTAGGCAGATGGTGTGGACCTTACGGAACATTAGGATTCTGACAGGCAGAGATGGAGCTCTGGATAGATGACAAGAAGGCACACTGTCTAGCTGAAACCCCATGAAGAAGTCTTGTATTTGGAGAGGTGAGTGGAGGGAGCTGCAAAGAAGCTACCTGCAAGTTAAAGGCACAGATTCGGGTTATATTTTGGAGGTCCTTGGATGCCAGGTTAAGGGAAGTGTCCTAATTACCCTATCCTTCCTCTCATAGACGCCAACAGGAACAGCAAATGAGCCTTCAGAAAAGGAATCATCCAGACATGTCTAACTGCAGAGTTCTAAAGAAGGGGAGGCCAGCAGTATCTGAAAGAAAAAATGAGTACCTCTGTACTGTTTCTGTCATCAGCTCTGACGTGAGAATATATACAAAAGACTGGCAGAAAAAGCCGGCAACGTATAGATTAAGGGGTAAAACTAAACAGGAAGAGCATTTTTAAAGGATTGGTAAATTACGCTAGTGATGCTCAAAGGGGACCAGGAGCATCAGCTTCACTCAAGAATTTGTTAATAACTCCGAATCTTGAGCATCACCCTGGATTTCCTGAGACACTGGGAGTAGAGCCTAGCAATTTTTTAAAAGAAATTAGGATCCAGATGGTTCTAATGAATGCTAAAGCTTGAGAAGCACCGTGTGGTAGGCTGAAAATGGTATCTCCCCACAAACCCACATTTTGATCCCAGGGACCTATGAATATTACCTTGTTAGAAAAAAGGGTCTTTGAGGGGCTGGGGATTTAGCTCAGTGGCAAAAGAGCCTGCCTGGCAAGCTCATGGTCGTGAGTTCGGTTCCCGGTACCGGAGAAAAACCAAAAAAAAAAAAAAAGAAAAAAGAAAAAAGGGTCTTTGCAAATGTGCTTAAAGATCTGGAGACAAGAGATTTCTGGATTATGTCCTGAGTGTCATGACAAGTGTCCTGAGAAGAGACAGAGGAGGATGACGCACAGAAGAGAAGGCATTGTGCCCACACTGGCACATCCCGCATTGATACAGATGCAGCCCAAAGATGCCCCCGGCCGCCACAAGTGGAAAAGGAAAGGAATAGATTCTCTCTAGAGCACGAGGAGAAATGCCTTTGCTGACACTTCTGTTTCAGTGCAGAGGAACTGACTTCAAACTTCTGGGTCTCTAGAACAATGAGAAAATGGCTTTGTGTTATTTTATGCCATCAAATTTGTGGTAATTTGTCACAGCAGCTACAGAAACTAATACATACCAAATAAGAAGAAGAAGGAGGAGGAGGAAGGGGAGAGGGAGAGGGGAGGGGGAGGGGGAGGAGGAGGAGAAAAAGAAGAAGAAGAAGAAGAAAAACAATGTAGGCTACAGTGCCTGAAAATTTACTAAGTTCTTATACTTGCTATGATTTTAAAAACTTTTACTATGGTGATTCCTTTATGTTAGGTGAAATTTGCCACATCCAAAACATTTTTCCTAATACACTTTGCCATCAAATGTTAAATGGAATAATTTTCATAAGGTTAGCATCAAAGACGGCCTTTATACACGTTGGGTTTTGTATAACTAACCCCACAGGAAAGGACACAAATCCTCTTGACAGGAGAAAGAAAAAAAAGGAGGCATTTTGCTTATGGGTAAGATTTGCATAGGTTAGAAGACCGAAATAAAGCTTTTATAGATAAGTAAATGTTCCTGAGAAATAACAATGGTATTTATTTTTGAGAAAATTCTTCATGGTGAAAAGACTGTATCATTAATGCTACCGGATCAATATTTGTGATCTTTTTAAGCTATCTGGAATACCCTAATACTTATTATTTGAGTTATGTATAATGCTTCTCAAATCACTGTCATATATTATATGAAAAATTTAATGAAAATATTGAGTATTATTTACCATTATATATAAATATAGATATAGAAATGTATATACATACTCCCATTTAATCTGTACAACTATTACATGAGCTGAGCAGGTCAAGTACTTTTTATATCATAGATGAAAAAGCAGTGCTCAGAGAATGAATGGATCAAGGTTACAAAAAGATAGACATGACACTGCAGATTAGAAACTGCCCATATCTCTGGCACAATGTCATTTTCAAGGATCCAGGAGTCCCTGACTGACCTCACTGAGGTTTGCAGGGTTGATGTTTGTATCTACCATAGTCTCCCCTTATCCATAGGGAGGTACATTCCAAGACCCCTAGTGGGTTCCTGAAACTGTAGACAGTACTAAGCCCTAGAATACAGTGGGCTTTTCTGTTTTAGCTTATCACTCAGGCACTGGGGTCGTAACTTGTGCACTTTGCAGTGTGACGGCAAAACTAGTACAACTTTTTATTCTTCACAGTTTTATGGACAGATAGATATGTTCTCATGATAGATTATAGTAACTTTAGCTGAATTTTTTTTTTCTTTATTGCCAGTTTTCACCTTTTCACTGAGAGGAAGCACTTTACAATTTCTCTTTGCATATCTGATTGCTAGTATCACTAGTCTTATTCTCTGGGGCCATTATGAAGTAAAATAAAGGCTACATGATGGCAGCACTGATGCCATGACAGTCAGTCTCATAACCTCTCCGGCTAGTAAAAGACGAACAGGTGTATGCGATATGCAGGGTGGGTATATTGGACAAAGAAGTGATTTCCACCCCAGGCGGGACAGAAAGGCACACCTGAGATTTCAGCATGCTTCTCAGAATGGCACACCACTAAAAATCTATAAGTTGTTTATTTCTGGAATTGTCCATTTAAGATTTTTAGCCTGCTGTGGGCTGCAGGTAATTGAAGCCAGGGAAAGAGTAACTGAATAAGGGAGGACTGTGGCTCAGAGACTCTAGGATCTGTTTTATTCAATTCAACAGACACTTAGTGATCACTCACTGGATGTGTAGAACTATGCTTGTTAACCTGGGGAAACAGTAAGAAAGTGCCAGACATACCACTACTAGGGAAGAAGTCCCTGCGTAAATAAGGGAAAGAATAAAACAAAATACCACTATCTGTGAGTCTACGCAGGAAACCTTGAAGAATGCATCTGATTCAAGAGGTGGGAGTTGGAAAAGCGTCTCAGGAGGCAAAAGGAGGGTAGCAGGGGTGAAAGATCAAGAGCAGAAGTTGAGTTTGAGATAATGTGTGACCAGCAGAAAGCAATAACGCGGGCTCCCAGAACCGGATTTGTGCCAGTGAGGAAGAGGCGCTAGGCTTTCTTGTGCTCACCTGGCCGCAGCTAGGTAGCAACTGAGACTCTTTAGTATTTTAGTTAACACACTGCACGCTAGAAAAGTACAAGAAAAGCAGTACTCATATGTAGAAATCAAAGCACACTTTTAAAACCTCTCATTCTGCCCAGTTCTCCCATTCTAGTCCTTTGGGCTTACTTTCTGGGAGCGTAAAACTGCTCCTGTGTTTGCTGAGGGCCAGCGGGTGTGTGTGTGTGTGTGTGTGTGTGTGTGTGTGTGTGTGTGTGCAAAGGTACTTGAACACCTATCCATAAAGTTCCTTATAGGAAAGGATGTCTTCATTTAGAAAAATGTTTTTAAGAGTTCACCATGAGGATCCAGTCTGCAGAGACCAGAAAAATCAAAGTTACATTTGCATGATAAAGTGACTTGAATTTGGGAGAGGTGGTTAGCTGGAGAAAGAGGGAAGGGACAAGTGAAAGAAGGGAAAGAAGAGGCAGAGCAGGAGGCCAGAGCCTGAAGGAAAGGGAAAAAGTCAGTAATATCTGGGGCCATGGTGGTTGAAGGGCTTGTAAGAATAAAATATTTCTTTTGTTTGTTTGTTTGCTTTTTGATCTTTTTGAGACAGGGTCTCGCTATGCAGTTCAGGCTGGCCTTGAGCTCACTTTGTAGCCCAGGCTGGCCTCAAACTTGCAATGATCCTCCTGCCTCAGCCTCCCGAGTGCTGGGATTACAGGCATGCACCACCATACCTGACTTAAAAATATTTCCTTATTTTACTTTTAAATTGTTTTTGATGCTTCCATGCAAATCTTTTTCATGCCTTGAATCTTCCATACCAGTTAGTTACCCAGAACTCTGAATCAATATTGTTTCGGAGAGGTTCACAAAGTGAGGGGGTCCAGGCCATGTTCACATGGGCAGTGGTAGCAATTGAACACTCATGCAAAAGTTTAACACTCATGCAACCTAAGACGACCCACTGATCAGACTAAGTTGAAGGTCTTGGTGACAAAGACAGCTCTTTCTCCTCAGTGACTGGAGGATATGGAGTTTCCCTTCCCTCTTTTTCTTTCTTCCCTCCCTTTTTGATTTTGCAGGCTGGAGGTCGAACCTAGGGCCTCACACATGCAAGGCAAGCACTGTATCACAAGCTATATCCCCAGCCCCAAGTTTTTTATTTTATGTAGGATGGGACTATAGCCAATTTCATTTGAACTGCATAGGACATGGTGATCCCTGCACAGAAGTGGGCACTAGGTTACAGTCAACCACTCACAATGTTTTGGTCTTTGCTTCAGTGGGTTCCTCTGTCACCACAGCAAGGCCTTTCTGTTTGCTGAAAATCAGCAGTTCCTGGACAAGGAGGAGGAGCTAGACCGGCTGAATGTACATCCTCCAGAGAGTGACTCAGGTTTGGCTTCTCTTGGCTTCAGAGCTTATTTTCTGTTTACCAAGGGATTAATCATGGTTTCCAAATTGGTCTGCCAGGACGCCAGTGGGGCTGGTTAAAGAAAGCAGAGGCACCAGGTTAGGGATTTTTCCATGCCCTGGCTAGTGATTTTTCAGCAGGAAAGTTAAAAATGTACTTCTCCTTTTATAGATTCCCAGTGGGTTGAAGAGGGTCCCATAACCTGCCTAATTTGGTGACTTGCCTTGGTATCAGTGTGCCAAATTTATAGCAAATGAACCTAACACCTTAATTCTTCATTTTTTTTTTTTGTCAGATGACAGATGAATTCACAGTGTTTGATCAACCAAAGTTGGGGGATATTTTAATTAATTTAATATAACACATGTTTAATAAATAAGCCAGCATGTGCGAGGCTGCAGAAGCCTAAATTTGATACTTTCAAGGAAATGAGGAAGTTTCACAATATTTAGTCCTTATAAAAGGAGGTGGGATTCACATTTTGCAGGATTCGCTGCAACCCTATTAGGATATACATTTTTAGTGTATTCATATGAGCAAGAAATAATACAGTGTCTTCTTGAGACTGCTGGTGATATCATGGGAGAAGCCTTTTAAAAAGTAATATCTGATTTTTCTCCCATTTGTTATTTACTGCAGGAGGAGACTTGATGATCTTGTAGTTGCTTCCACAGATAACTAAGGAAGTCACATTTCTCCATTGAGGACAAAGACCCTTTTGAGAATAGCATAAATGATTTTAACATAAGAAACTTGGTTTTTGATTAGCTTGGATTACTTTAAATAATTTTTGATAATTAAGATTTAATATGTAGGGTAAATTGAAACACTGTCTAGCTGGAGAAAATTGCATTAGTATCCACTCAAAATTCTTATGTTATGAAGATTAGTGAAAATAAATCTGTGATTGTATTTTTTGCTTTTTCAGTTTTTCTTTACTAGGAGTAAAACAATTAAAATAAAGAAGCATATTATGACATGTTGCTATTGCAGAGCTGATTACTTGTCATCCTTTCAGAGTTTGCTCTATATAAACCTGCATACACAACACAGAGGGACTAGCATTACTGTGGTGTGCGCTGGGACTGGAAGTTAAATGGACAGACAGACAATGCCAGCTGCTAGGAAAACCATCCTCAGATTCTACTGGATCTGGTTTACGTTGAGGAGCACCCAGAGCGCAGAGTAAGTGGATGCAAAATTGACACGTAAACTTTCTGAATATGGATATCAATGTTGCACAGCTCAGTTTCCAAACACTTCGTGGCCTTCCTAGTCCATGGGAGTTTGTGATGATCATGTAAAGTAGAGGTATAATAACATCAAAGTTTGAAGGTCCTGTGATGCATTCGTTAGAAGCTGTAAGTTGGGTGTGTTTCAATCACATAGTTTGAAAAAAGCTTCTAGAGCTACCTGTGAGAATGGCAGTGTCTATAGCAACAGTAGCAAAACAGGATTATCCAGCTAAGGCAAACCTCCTTAGCTGGATTACCATGGCTTCACTGTCTCATCCAAAACTCATGTTGAAATTAAATTACCATTGTAATAGTATTAGGAGGTGGAATCTTTAAGAAATGATGAGGTCATAAAGGGCTTCATCCTCATGAATGAATTCATGCTGTTATCTCGGGAGACTGAGTTCTTGATAAGAAGGGTTAGTTCAGCCAGTTTCCTCTCTGTTGCTTGTGTGCTTGCTTGCCCTTCCACTATATTATGATATAGCATGTAGGTCTTTTACTGGTGCCATGCTTTTGGACTTTCCAGCCTGTAAAACTGAGCCAAAAATGTTCTGTTGTTTATTTTATTTTATTAATTTTTTAATTTTTGGGTACCAGGAATCGAACTCAGGACCTTGCACTTGCCAGGCAGGTACTGTGCCACTGGGCTATCTCCCCAGCCTGTTGTATTGTTTATAAGATAGTAAATGATGTAGCACTTTAATATAGCAGCAGAAAACAGACTATGACAGATATTTTGAAATTTAGAGTTGCAAAAGGCATGGCAGTCCTTTGGCTAATCTTCCCAGTTCTTGTATGAAACCCTCTACTACATCACATGAAAGGTTATCCATTTTGTTGATAAATATTCTATTGGGTACTAGCCTTTCTAGGTATACTTATATATGCCCCACACATATTCATAATCCATGAATAGCCCATTAAGCCTGGTAACCAATTAACCTTTTCTTTCTAAGTATCATTATATGAGATTTTTCTATTTTTATACAAAAGTATTATGTATATACTATAGGATCAGCATGGGGTTGAATAATGAGTGGCCTAGAAAATAGGAAAAGTTCTACCACTTGCGAAAATAATTCAACAGGATCCATGTTACTGGCTTATGCATGCTATTTTCAAAGAGGCAACAGTGGGAAGCTTATCATTTAAGGATTTGATATGTATGATAATCTTGACTGTCAACTTGACTGGATTGAGAAACACCTAGGGAATGTGCAAAGCACACTTCTGGGTGTGTCTGTATCCATGACAGAGACAACAGAGAGACGCACCCTGAACATGAGTGGCACCATCCAATAGGCTGCGGGCCTAGGTAGAACAAAAAAAACCCAGAGGAAACCTGTCAGCACAGGCTAGTTCCCCCTCTCCCTGCTGTCGTGAAGTGAGTGGATTTGCTGTCACACACACCCATTATGTTCTGCCCCACCACAGGAACCAGCCCACCATGGACTGAAACCTCTGACACTGTGAGCCAAAGCAAATCTGTCCCAGTGGCAGATGACTTGGGAATGTAGCCTATTGTACCTTTGATTTTGGGGAGGTGCTGTTAGTAGTTCTTTTTTTAAACAGTATGTTCTCACTAAACCATACTCCTGATTAATTTATCCTAAATGAAAGAAGACATGTAAGTAGAATTCTAGAAAGCAACTTTACATCTTTCCCACTTTGGAAGAGATGTTTTTTGCTTCTTTAAAAATATTAACTTATACTAACTATAAAAAAATTGATGGATTGAACTGTGTCATTTCCATACATGCACATTTTGTGCATTGATTATGTCCTCTTTCTTACCATGTCACACCTTCTACTTTCTTCCCTTATTCTTTCTTCTTCCTACTTCCTAATAGTAAAGTTCCTCACCTACTTGAAGGTCATCTTTTTCTTTTCTTTTCTTTTTAATTTCCATGTATGAGAGAAAATGTGGTACTTGTATTTCTGTGTCTGGCTTATTTTGCTTAAAATGATATCTTTCAATTCCATTCATTTTCCTAAAAATAGCATTATTTCATTCTTCTTCATGACTGGATAATACTCCATGGTGTGTATACACCATGATTTCCTTTATTCTCAATCTTTATTTTTTATTAGTACATGCTTGTAGTACATGACGATCACATTCCTCATGGGAAGTTGGTACATGCACTAACACATCTTCATTCTTTTTTTAAAAATCTACTTCCCCTCTCCTCCCTTCTCCCTCCCTCCTTCTCTTGGTCCCCCTTCCCATTTGCAAAGGATCTATCTCTTTATTTCCTCTTGTCTACACACACACATAAGCTGTAGGAATCAATCTAATGAGGAAGGTGAAAGACCACTAGAATGAAAATTATGGATGAAAAATTGAAGAAAAGCACCAGACAATAAAAAGATGTCCCATATTCATGGGTTGGGAGAATTAGTATTGCTAAAATAGCCATACTACCCAAAGCAATCTACAGATTCAATGCAATCCACAACAAAATATTGATGTATTCTTCACAGAATTAGAATAAACAATCTTAAAATTCATATGAAAGCACAAAAGACCACAAGTAGCCAAAGCAATCTTGAAAAAAAAGCAATGCTGAAGGCATTACAATATTTGATTTCAAGACATAATAGAAAGCCATACTAAAAAAAGGCAGCATGGCATTGACATACAAATAGAAACATAGACCAGTGAGACAGAACCCAGATATAATTCTACACATCTTCAGTCTACTGATTCTTAACAGTAATACCAAAAACATACATTGGAAAAAGGACACCTATTCAACAAATGGAACAGTGAAAACTGGAAATCCAGATGGAGGTAATTGAAACTAAAAATCTCAATTCCCACCCTGTAGAAAAATGAACTCAAAGTGAATAAAGGCCTTAGTGTAAGACCTGAAACTTTGAAATTATTAGAAGAAAACATTTAAGATATTGGTACAGGCAATAATTTTCTAGATAGGATTCCAAAGCTCAGAGAACAAAAGCAAGAATTGACAAATAGGATTACATCACATTTTTAAAATACTTCTGCCTGGCAAAGAAAATAATTTTAAAAAGTCCTGGTTACTTTTCTCTCATTGCTGAGACAAAGTACAGCACCCAAAGTTAAGGAAGGGAAGGTTTATTAAGCTCATAGTTTGTGGAGGTTTCAGTCCATAAGCAGCTGGTTTCAAGGCAGGATGGCATGGCAGAGGGCAACACTTTACCCAGGCAGGAGACAGCAAAAGCAACAAGAGCAAAAAGGAGGAAAGCAAGCCTCTTTTCCACACTTCTACTGTATACCAGCTATCCACTCACACCATCTCCAAGTGCTCCTCTTCCACAAGCTCAGTATGTTTGCAAAGTTAGGACCCTGGTCCCCTGCTGAGTCACTTAGTTAAGCTTCCAAACATCTCAAGTTGACACAATGTATCAACCATGACAGAGTGAAGTGTAACCTACAGAATGAAAGAAAAATCTGTGTCAGCAACTCATCTAACATAAGATTAATATCCAGAATATATAAATGACTAAAAAAATTTAAGAATAAAAAGTAATACAATCAAAAATGGGAAAGTGATATCAATAGACACTCAAAAATATGTGTGTGTGTCTCTACTGTGAATGTGATTAGTTTTCTGATTTCTTTCTGAGTTCATTATTGGTGTACAGAAAAGTTATGATTTTTATATGAACATTTTGTGTTTTTCTTTTCCTGAGTTTGTCAGAAAAATCTTTTGGTGGGGTCTTTAGGATTTTCTCTAGATAGAATCATATTAGTAAATGGGATAATTTGACTTCATCCTTTCTTATTTCTATAGCACTTATTGCTATAGAAATATTTTATATTTCTTTTCTTGCCTAATCACTCTGGTTAAAACTTCTAGTACTCTCTTAAGTAAGAGTGGTGAGAGTGAGCAGCCATGTCTTGCTCTTGATTTTAGAGGAAATGCTTCCAGTTTTCTCCAAGTAGAATGATGTTGACTATGGACTTGTCATATATAACATTCATTATATTGAGGTATAATCTTCCTATGTCTAATTTACTCATGGCTTTTTACATTAACACCTGCTGAGTTTTATTAAAGGTTAGTTCTGCAGTTTTATTCTTGATTCTATTTTTGTGCTGTATTGCATTTATTGATTTACTATGTTGAGCCATTCTTGCATCCCTGAAATGAAACAACTTGATTATAGTATAATTTTTAGAATATACTTTGAATTCAGCTTGCAAGTATTTTATCAAGGATTTTTACATCTATGTTTATTAGGGATGGTGGGTTATAGTTTTATTTTTTTGTTGTGTCCTTATCAGATTTGGTAGCAGGGCAATACTGGCTCCACAGAATTAAGTTTGGAAGGTTTCCTTCCCTTTCTATTTTATGGAATAGTTTGAGGAGCCTTGGTTCTTTTTAAAAGTCTGGTAAAATTCAGCAGTGAATGCAGGATATCCAGCTCTGAGCTTTGTTGTGAGACTTTTTATTACAGCTTCAATCTCATTCCTTGTTACTTATCTTGTTTTTGTTTTTGTTTTTCTTCTGGTACCAGGAATCAAACTCACGACGTTGCCCTTGCCAGGCAGGCACTGTGCCGCTGAGCTAAATCCCCAACCCGCCTTGTTACTTATCTATTTAGGTTCTTTATATTCTTTTGGCTCAATTTTTATAGGTCAAAAATTTGTCCATTTTTTTTCTAGATTTTATAACTTACTAGCATATAACTTTTCAAAATATGCTCTGATTATCCTTTGAATTTCAGAGGTATCTTTTGTAATATTCTCTTTTTTTTTTTTTTTTGGTTTTTCTCCGGTACCGGGAACCGAACTCACGACCTTGTGCTTGCCAGGCAGGTGCTTTGCCGCTGAGCTAAATCCCCAGCCCCTCTTTTGTAATGTTCTCAATGAAAATGTTTTTAAAAGGTAATTTTTTTTTTTCAGAAATTTAAGAAAAAAATAAAGAAAAACAGGAGCAATCTTCACATTGTCCTGTA